AGCGAGGCGAGGGAGGTGAAAGCGGAGGAGGAGGTTTCTCTCTTCGGGGATCTTCAGAGCGAGGCGAGGGAGGCGAGGGAAGTGAAAGCGGAGGAGGAATATCCTGTCTTCGGGGATCTTCAGAGCGAGGCGAGGGAGGCGAGGGAAGTGAAAGCGGAGGAAGAGGTTTCTCTCTTCGGGGATCTTCAGAGCGAGGCGAAGGAGGCGAGGGAAGTGGAGAAGGAATTTTCTCTCTTCGGGGATCTTCAGAGCGAGGCGAGGGAAGTGAAAGCGGAGGAGGAATATCCTGTCTTCGGGGATCTTCAGAGCGAGGCGAGGGAGGCGAGGGAAGTGAAAGCGGAGGAATTTCCTGTCTTCGGGGATCTCCAGAGCGAGGCGAGGGAGGCGAGGGAGGTGAAAGCGGAGGAGGAGGTTTCTGTCTTCGGGGATCTTCAGAGCGAGGCGAGGGAGGCGAGGGAAGTGAAAGCGGAGGAGGAATATCCTGTCTTCGGGGATCTTCAGAGTGAGGCGAAGGAGGCGAGGGAAGTGGAGAAGGAATTTTCTCTCTTCGGGGATCTTCAGAGTGAGGCGAAGGAGGAGAGGGAAGTGAAAGCGGAGGAGGAATATCCTGTCTTCAGGGATCTTCAGAGCGAAGCGAGGGAGGCGAGGGAAGTGAAAGCGGAGGAGGAATATCCTGTCTTCGGGGATCTTCAGAGCGAGGCGAAGGAGGCGAGGGAAGTGGAGAAGGAATTTTCTCTCTTCGGGGATCTTCAGAGCGAGGCGAGGGAGGCGAGGGAAGTGAAAGCGAAGGAGGAATTTCCTGTCTTCGGGGATCTTCAGAGTGAGGCGAGGGAGGCGAGGGAAGTGGAGAAGGAATTTTCTCTCTTCGGGGATCTTCAGAGCGAGGCGAAGGAGGCGAGGGAAGTGAAAGCGGAGGAGGAATATCCTGTCTTCAGGGATCTTCAGAGCGAGGCGAGGGAGGCGAGGGAAGTGAAAGCGGAGGAGGAATATCCTGTCTTCGGGGATCTTCAGAGTGAGGCGAAGGAGGCGAGGGAAGTGGAGAAGGAATTTTCTCTCTTCGGGGATCTTCAGAGTGAGGCGAAGGAGGAGAGGGAAGTGAAAGCGGAGGAGGAATATCCTGTCTTCAGGGATCTTCAGAGCGAAGCGAGGGAGGCGAGGGAAGTGAAAGCGGAGGAGGAATATCCTGTCTTCGGGGATCTTCAGAGTGAGGCGAGGGAGGCGAGGGAAGTGAAAGCGGAGGAGTAATTTTCTCTCTTCGGGGATCTTCAGAGCGAGGCGAAGGAGTCGAGGGAAATGGAGAAGGAATTTTCTCTCTTCGGGGATCTTCAGAGCGAGGCGAAGGAAGTGAAAGCGGAGGAGGAATATCCTGTCTTCGGGGATCTTCAGAGCGAGGCGAAGGAGGCGAGGGAAGTGGAGAAGGAATTTTCTCTCTTCGGGGATCTTCAGAGTGAGGCGAAGGAGGCGAGGGAGGCGAGGGGAGTGAAAGCGAAGGGGGAAGTTTCTCTCTTCGGGGATCTTCAGAGCGAGGCGAAGGAGGCGAGGGAAGTGAAAGCGGAGGAGTAATTTTCTCTCTTCGGGGATCTTCAGAGCGAGGCGAAGGAGGTGAAAGCGAAGGGGGAAGTTTCTCTCTTCGGGGATCTTCAGCACGAGGCGAGGGAGGCGAGGGAAGTGAAAGCGGAGGAAGAGGTTTCTCTCTTCGGGGATCTTTAGAGCGAGGCGAAGGAGGCGAGGGAGGCGAGGGAGGCGAGGGAAGTGAAAGCAGAGGAGTAATTTTCTCTCTTCGGGGATCTTCAGAGCGAGGCGAGGGAAGTGAAAGCGGAGGAGGAGGTTTCTCTCTTCGGGGATCTTCAGAGCGAGGCGAGGGAGGCGAGAGAAGTGAAAGCGGAGGAGGTTTCTCTCTTCGGGGATCTTCAGAGCGAGGCGAAGGAGGTGAGGGAGGCGAGGGAAGTGAAGAAAGCGAGAGAAGTGAAAGCGGAGGAGGAATTTCCTGTCTTCGGGGATCTTCAGAGTGAGGCGAAGGAGGCGAGGGAAGTGGAGAAGGAATTTTCTCTCTTCGGGGATCTTCAGAGCGAGGCAAGCGAGGCGAGGGAAGTGAAGAAAGCGAGAGAAGTGAAAGCGGAGGAGTAATTTTCTCTCTTCGGGGATCTTCAGAGCGAGGCGAAGGAGGCGAGGGAAGTGGAGAAGGAATTTTCTCTCTTCGGGGATCTTCAGAGCGAGGCGAGGGAGGCGAGGGAAGTGGAGAAGGAATTTTCTCTCTTCGGGGATCTTCAGAGCGAGGCGAGGGAGGTGAAGAAAGCGAGAGAAGTGAAAGCGGAGAAGGAATTTCCTCTTTTCGGGAATCTCCAAGACCTCAGGCATCATGCGAGTGGAAAGAGACCCGCGTGTGATTTTACTGAGGATACCCCGTCAGGATACCCCGAGGATACCCCGTCGGGAGCGCCATTTCCGGCCGAGGGACACGGGCACGGGCGTTCGCTAGACCGGGACACCGAGGCAACGC